AAAGCCCCCGGTTTCGTTCGAATCGGACATCGTTCATACATACAAGCAAATCAACGATTACTGGCGGGATGCCTACTCCCAGACCTGGGCGAACAATAACCCACTGTGGCACCTTACGCTGATCTCGATCGCGGGTGGTTCGCGCGATACGGTGGTTCCGTCGGACTACGCTAGTATCTCGTCGCTGGTTCCGGACACGCACGGCTTCACGGTCTTCACATCGACGATCCCTGATGTCTGGATCGGAATGGACCATCTGTCAATTACGTGGTGTGACCAGTTCCGCAAGGCAATCATCAAGTCCTTGTTCGACGTGGTGGATGTCCGTCGGGCCAGCCAGACAAAGCCCAGGGCCGAGCGCATGCGGATCTTCAAGAAATGGTATTTGACTGGATTAGAGCCGACCGCTGAAAGAACGCTTCCACAGAAAGGTGCGTATGCGATAGCACTCGTCGATACTGTTGCTAACTGTTATTAGAACCATCTACATTATTGACGCTGGAAGATAGCACCAACATCATCCTGCCGCAAGGCCAGCGACTAATTCTTCGCGAGCTCGGCCACAGCCCGAATACCAACGTCCACCTGCTTCCCGTTCCGCCGCAGGGTGTGTCGGGGAAGAAGTTTACTCTTCTTACAGATCAGAAATTAGACAACCCCGGAGAGCAGGGGACATTGGAGGTTCTCTTCTGCAGTGTCTTCCCGTTGCACAACGGCAAGTTTGCCAGCATTTTCTCGATGAACATGGACTTTTCCGGGAGCAGCGCCGGCTCGACGCGCCTGGCTTGCAAGAACGCTGCAGAGGATGGCATACACCTACCAGCGTCGACGAGGACCTCGAAGCAAGCGTATGACCGGACCTCTCCTTTCTCGTATCTCCAGTACGATCTGGAGGATTTGGTCGAGCACCAGTTTGTGGCAGTGGTCGACAAAGCGCGGTCTCCAACTCGCGGCTGGGTGGTGGCGGAATTCTCCGACAGCTCTGACTCGGTCATCCGAGCTCGTGTGGGCTTGGGCGGCTTGCTCAGTGCTGGACTGAAGATGAGACTTCCGGCGAACCGCCCAATGCTCACCGAGGTGAGAATTCCGGCGCTGCATTCGAGTTTGTTGAATTACAAGCTTAAGATCGTCCGCCGGGGTTACGGAGAACAGCCCGAGCTGTTTGCACCGCTATTGCGCCAGTCGATCCCTGATCCCCACGAGTCCAAGTTCTTTGTCAATGTGAAGCAGGTCAATGTCAATCTGCACGGTGTCGCTCCGTTCATGCCTCCGCCTCTTCGTGAGCAAGCCACCCTGGGTGGAGTGTCTTTCCATTTGTGGACAGATCCGAGCAGCGAGTCAACGGTTGACATCTCCTTGTCGGTGGACGTCCTGGGTAGTCTAGGTGAGCTCGTGATGCGGTACCGCACCGTTTTTGCTGCCTTTCCGATTCTGGTTATTGCTTTGGTTCTGCGCAAGCAGTTTCAGGTCTATGACGAGACGGGTTATTTCATCACCTTCGCCGAGGGGTTGGATAGCACACTGCGGTCGTCTTTGCCTATTTTGCTGCTCGCAATGTCGTTGCTGGCTTCTTCCCTGGCTACGTCGACGACGCTGCCTCCAAGTGATGATCCATTTCATTGGCGCACCAACTCCACGGAGTCGCCCATTGATTTTACGAAGAATGACCTACTGTTGGGATCGCAGGATGCATTCTTTTGGTTCTTGGTTCCTGTGTTCGGTCTGATTAGTGTGGGCGTGTGCGTGATGATGAATTATGTGGCTCTGTCCCTGCTGTCGGTTTTGTCTTTCTTCTATGGTCTGATGAACAGCAAGTCGGGGTATATCAAGCGTGATGACAAGGGGTGAGTTATCCTCTATGATTTTGCATGCACAATGCTAACCATATCAGCAACCTTCCCATCTTTTCGGCCCCTACGCCCAGACGGCGGTTGATTAACACCGCTATTCTTCTGATTCTTGTTGCGACTACTATCCCGTATCAGTTTGCCTATATGGTGGCGTGCATTGTGCAGCTCGCTACTTGCGTGCGAGCCCAATGGCATGCGAAAGAGACGGTATGCATACTTGCATTGTTGACTTGCGTTTGCTAATAATCACAGAAATCTACGACTCATTATAATTTCGCCAATCTTACATACTCGATCTTTCTCCTGATGCTGTGGATCCTGCCGATCAACATCCTAGTCCTGCTCGTGTGGGCACATAACCTTGTGGTGCATTGGTTCATGCCATTCTCCTCCCACCACAATGTGCTGTCAATCATGCCATTTATCCTGCTCGTTGAGGCCATGACGACAGGAACGATGGTCCCTCGAGTTAGCTCACGGTATGCTCCTTCAATACTAGTGTAAACTCAAAACTAACTGAACAGGCTAAAAAACGTCACCTCCCTCATTCTCTTCGCCCTTGCCATCTACTCCGCAGTCTACGGCGTCTCCTACGGCTACCTTCTCCATCACCTTACTAATCTCTTCGCCGCCTGGCTCGTGGGCATCTACCTCTTCAGCAGCGGCTTCTCACCCCGCCGACTTTGGCGCATCCTAGAAGGCGACGACGCGAACTCCTCGGCCGAACCAGGGAGTAGTCACATGAAGAAAAAACCATAATTCTACTACACCATACATATCTTATCCTTTATTCTTCTATTATATGTCCCGTTGCATCTTACCGGTTGCGGACCATGATTAACGGCGTTTTGCTATTCTTGGAAGCGGCGTTTGCTTTTTGTTTTCTGACCGTGGGTCGTTGTACAGGATTGTGCTTGTTATGTGCTCATATGAATGATTTTATATTATATCGTGTTTGAGTGATCCTGACGGAAGGTGGGATCTGTGATGGCGGAGGGATGTATCTTATTAGCTTTGTGTGTGTTGTTGATACTGTCCGAGAGTGTGTTTGTATATACGGTTGGATCTGGAAATAGACTTTGGCCGGGTAATAGTGACGAGAGACGGTGTTGCTGTTCATATTTTCCCACTATCGTTGATTTAGACGACATCTATAACCTAGAATATTTGCACATCATGCCTCTTCAGTCGAGTGCCTTGATCATTCTACGCTATATCCAAGCCACATTAGACATGGCGCAGCAGGTCCCGAAGTAGGATTGCTGACCACTTCATATCCACGGACATCTACCACGAGACAAGACTGATTCCAAATCGAGCTGCTAAATCTGGTCAGATGCAGTAGTACATTGACCTCATAGTAGACACGCGCCCGAGCCAAGAAGAGATTTAGCTGTCACCAGATAGGATATAGTCCAAGATATCCCTGGTCTATGGATTTGTATCTCGACTCCTGCGCATGCAGAGCTTGTCAGCTTCCATATATTCCGGTTTCTTATCACGTATATAATTCATATAAGATCCAATTCACATCCCTTAAAGCTATACCTAAATTCAACAATCAACAAATATACCCACGAGGCCCCCGAACTATAAGGAACAAGCCAAAATGCTCATCTTTTTTGGCAAACTTACCTACCCGCCCTACGCCACGAACGAACTCTTCGCCGTCATCTTCAGCAACAACATGCAACAGGGCGAAAAAGTGGCTGTCGTTCACCAATGGACTAAGGATGCGGCCGGACAGGCAAAAGCCAATTCCTTTGCGCAGGGGACTGTCGATAAGGCGGTTATTACGTCGACGGGGGAGAAGGAGATTGAGTTCTTTTATGGGGAGAGGGAGACTACTTATTACTGGTACTTGCCTTACTCCTTCTTTCCCCTTTCTATAGGAGTATTGGTTTCGGAGTAGATGAGTAATTGCTAATATGTGGGGTTGTGTGTAGGTATAAGGGTACCCAATCGGGGAGTAAATTGACATTGTCGATGTTCAACAAGAGTGGGGAGGAAGTGGTCAAGAAGATTGAGCTCCTGGCGACGTATTATTGATTACAATCTAGTATTCTGCTTTCATTGTGAAATTCATAGTTCATATATCATAATGCTACTCGCATTAGACAGAAAGGAAACAGAACTCAACAAGAAGCAGTCTACGAGCTATAATCCTTCCACCTTCCACCTTCCATATCCATGACATGATTGGTTATCGCCTCACCCCCTCAAATACTGCCTCATACCTCTCCAACGCCTCAGTAAACCTCCTCGCCGACTCAGTTAACCTTTCTAACGCGTCATCTAGTCTCTCTCGTGCTTCGGTATACCTTCGATAGGCCTCGTGGAAGTTTTCTTCTGATTTTTCATAGTTCTTCTTGGCTTCTTCGGTTGCCTTTTGTGCATGTACCGCCATGTCTCGTGCTGAGTGGGCTGCCTTTCGTGCCTCTTCGAAGGCTTCGATGAGAGGTGAGGGTTCGTGGTCCGTTTGGGTTCGAGGGAGGTGGGATTGGTAGTGGCAGAAAAAGGACATGTTTAAGGTTGAGGGTGTATAGGTAGGGAGGTTGCGCCTGAGCAGAGGAATGATGTTTGCCTGTGAAGGTGGATGTGGGGGTCTTGATGGGAAACAGTTGTGTTAGGTGCAGTTACCAAAGCAGCGGTAATATCAGGCTGAATGATAGTTGAATTTTGCGCGCATGTGATGTACATATGTCGGCTGAAGGCAAATTCCTTGAATTATACTGCCTGCTTAGTGTATGTTTCTTGTAAATGTAGATAAATGTATGTAAAGTTTATTTGTTCAGAAAGTTGGGTTTTAATCTTGAGACAACCGGTATCAGCTGATCTTGGTCTCATCTATACAGGTCGATTGTTACTCCGATCCCTCAAGATATCTACAGGAATATGCACGCTTAGAAGCTCAAGAAGAGTCGCTCATGCACAGAACCTTTCAATTTCTCTTCCCTAGAAATTGAATTTAATACTATATGAATCCCTCAGCTAGTGCAGAACAAAATATCTGGCAGAGAGAAAGGCAGCACACTTCAGCTGTGTCTATAAAAAACGGTAAGCCTCGCGCCATCGACAAACGGCTCGTGAAAACCCGCTGATTCTTGCCAGGCAGCAATTGTGAGAGAAATCAGGCTGAAATATAACTCATTACTCGAGTGGAACTGAAGATGGTCGCTTTCGGCCGTAGAGGTCGCGGATTTTCTTCCCCATCAAGAATTGCCGCTTTTCGATTGGAAGTGAATCGAGTTGCGAACGATCAAAGTCAATAATCAACGCCCGGCGTAGCTCGGGGTTCCACAACGTATTTCGGGGCTGGATATTATGATGTATGACTCCAAGAGAGCGGATCTCCTTTTCAGATCTTTTGACTTCGCTTTTAAAGGACTTGTCCTCGCAATTCTCGATCCGTTCCCCTCCCCAAGCCATGAGGAGCATGTGGTCGATCTCGGCTCCATGCGAAAAGTGAGCCATTCTCAGATTAACTGTCCCAAGGACAACAGGAACTGCAGATCCCTGCGCTTGGTGAAGTATGCGGTAAATGTCTGCTTCATGAGAGACTTTTTCCTTCCAAAGATCAGATGAGGCTCCTTTGCCAACCATAGTATACCCAAGTGTCGAAGATGTAATTTTAAATAGTGGGCCGGTTGACGCGCAGCCACTGATGGGCGTGCACCCATGGCCAACTTCTTTATTAAGCTGTTTCTCGATTTTTCGGACCAACGTTTCAGGAAGAATCTGGTGATGGTCGCCATTTGCACCTAGCCGGTGCAGCGCTACGTTCGGACACTGTTCGTCCAGACTTCTCCCATATTGCAGACCAAGAAAACAACGCTGGGTACAAAATTGGGCTGTATCTTTGTGGGAGTCATTTTCCCTAGTTTTAAGGTTCTTTTGGATCCCCGATGGCTCAGCATTCTCGCTGATTCGACGCTTTTGTCTCCTGGGGCCTGTATTGGTATCTGCGTCCGGGGTTAGGTGGCGCCGCATACGAGTCGGAGTCGGCATCCTGCAGTCTTCTGTCGGCGACATAATAGAAAATTGGGATGGCTGGCACGTTGTCGAGGTTTCTGCGGAGGTGTCCTCGACGGTTGCGGTGTAAGAATTCCGCAAAGCAGCCGGACTTGGTTCAACTCAGTTTGCGTGGCTCTGAAAGGCGTGGTATTGAAGCTTGCTGTCCAAATCGGCAGGTCCCTTTTTGCCGTATCTCGCCAATTCTGATCACGAAGTGTCGAGCTACAGCTCATTAGACACAAACCCAAGACACGCGCCACGGGTGTTAATGGAGCCGTGAGTCCTTTGTCATCTTGTGAAGTTATTTCACTATTAGGCTCAAAGAGACGGTAGTACAGAGTACCCGGACTGTCGTAGGGGACTCGCAACATGATCAATGCTAGCCCAGTGCTCACATAGGAATACTCAAGTCCCTTCGTTATCATAACATGATACGCTTGAACAATAGCGGAACCGGTTAGAAAAGCCGCATCATACTCTATCTTCTTTTCCAGATCGTTGGGAATGGTTTTAGCATCCAGTATCTCCTTCCAGAATTTCATGGGACGCAGTCCCAAGCGGATATTTTCGACATGGAGTATATGCGGTGGCTTGTACCCAACTGTCATTATCAGCTTGTTATTTCCACCATCGACTTGGTAGATGCAATATTGTTCTGGTCTCAGATGCTGGCAATTTGATAACTCCTCGTCCTTTCCGTCCGCTGTCCGGTCTTGCTGTTTGTCGGCTTCGACATCATCAAGACAATTTGCATGACTGTCGAACCGAACTCCACTGCCCAAACGAAATTCAGCTCTTGCGGCCGGTATATTGCAGAGCTCCGTAAGAATCTTCTGGACTTGGCTCTCCACGGTAAACTGTTCAAAAGCTGCCACATCTCGCTCACTGCCTATTGGCCTGTCAAAATATTCGCCCATGCTTTCCAAACCAAGACGAGATGTGAAGAGTCTTAATGCAGCACTTCCTGGCGGCTCAAGGTAATAACGAACAGCCCGGTAGATCTTCTGTTGCTCGGTATCACAACTTTTCCATAGCTCCAGCTTCAAGGGGCAGTATTTTCCTTTGGGCTGCGGAATCTTTCCCTTTGTGCAGCGAGTGAGTTTTTCGACTCTAAGGGGTTCTGAAAATATGATGTGGCAGTATTGAAGGAATTCTCCAAATGTCGTACGTCTCGATCGTTCCCTCTCCACCTCCAATTCCTCTCTAAACCGTTCCCCTTCTTCCCGTGCTCTCTTCGCATTTTCCTGAGCCCGTAGCTTGTCTTCCTTGGCATTTTGTATGGCTGCACGAGCCCTTTGAAGTGTAGCAGCACTTTCCTCTGCTACATCAGCCTGTTGACTTGCTGTATCAGCTGTTGTATGTGCTGCACTACCCGCGCTATCTGCTTCAAAAATCCTTTCCGGGGGAGTCTTGTACTCAGGGGAACTGTCACCACCCATTATATGTGGATATACGATGGGAAAAGTGAAGATAATGCAGCTGTTGGAGTGGCAAAAACACACAATGGAAGAATTTCGAAGAGTTGATTGGAGAGCTCTGTATAGAAATAGACAGCGAAGAACGCCAACTGGCCGTGGATGTGAGCTATCAATTTATACCATCTCGTAGCTGCGTCCATCAAGGGGGGCTGATGAGGGGGAGAGCCAGTGCAGCTACCTCAGAAAGTCTTCCATTGATGAGGTCGTACCAACAAACGGAGAAACCCGTATCGTAGACACGCAAATCAAATCCATCTTGCCTTCTTTCGGAGACCAGCTGGAGGTCCATGCTGTTTTCCCTTTCCGATCAGAAATGTGAAAAGACCTTTCCTGTTCTTCAAGCCATGACGCCGACGCCAATCTGGATGGGTGGGCACTTCATTTGTTTTTCCCTTTGTCCAGGATTTCGGTGTTTGCTATTCTGCATCGTAGAGCCACTGTATAACATCAAAGCGGTAACCACGTACCATCCCGTCTTTCAAACAAACGTGGTGCTGACAGCTCAAACACAAATGAACTTTCCAAATTACAACCCTTCAGCGTCAGGCATAGAGCGATCTTTGGGCGAGTTCATGATACTACAATGAGTCAAGGGAGATTCTGCCTGGCGAGACCCGCGTATCAGGAGTAGAAGTTTCTGGTCGACCAGTCTAAAGTGACACAAACTTCCAGAAGTTTGAATTCCCAATAAGTCGCGTTGATCAAACGAAGGGCTAGGGTGGGGAGACACAGCTGTATGGGCACATGTCCTGAGTGTTTGTGTATGATTTCAAGGACGCTTGAATGAGTAACTTTATGGTCGTTTTCACAGGTGTCTTCCGCGCACGTTTACCCGCATGTTTGCATTCTTGGCTTGCCAGGATTTTGAAAAGCCTAGGTAAATCCAGACTTGTACTAAGCACACCAATTTTGCCCTTAGTAATGCCTACTTCAATCTAAGTATGTACATCAAATAGATTTGTTTGAGGGTTCCATGGGCCCTAGTGGGGTGTCCGCAAGTAGAAGTAACTCAAAACAATAGCAGCAAGGAATCTAACATATATCACAAGTCTAGGGTGCATTCGTAGCGAGGATTTCTCTATAAAACAATCTCCAATTCAAAACTTTTTTGCACCAACCTCGGGCTGTTACTGATAGTATGAGAGTGTGGTTAACAAAAGGCGAGCATCTCTATAGTGATCACCGACAGGACTAAGAGGATTCCTGAGTGCAATGTTGGGGTAATGGGAATCAAGGTATTCCAACTATGCATTTCTAAGTGCATGATAAAGGCCTGTACACATTGAGACTGCTCTCAATTCTCTCAGAGTATGTATTGCGGTATTTTAGAGTAGATGCTGCAGCTTTCAATTCCTTGCCTGCTAACTAGTCCTGCTATTCTTCCGCTTCTTTCCTTACCCACTGTTCCTCCACTTCCTGTTTCTGTGATTCATCAGACTCTTAATGTCCTCCATCTTCTTTTAGCTGTTGCTCATTCACTATTTTTTCTTGCATAATTTCTGTCTCGTGCTTCTTGACTTCTCCACCATGCATCAAATTCTCTTGTTTGTGCTTCTTGACATTCTCTGTGTGCATCAAATTCTCTTCCTATTGCTTCATACATTTTCTGTCGTGCTTTATATATTTTCTCCCGTGCTTCATGCAGTTCTTCTTGTGTTTCTTTTTCTCTTTCTTGTGCTCCACTAGCCACCTTCAAACACATATCAGCGCGTTCCTCTGCTTTCCTGGTTCTTTCCCTCTCTCTGTCCAGTTCTGCCTTGGCTTCGAAGTAGAGAGCCTTGTAATCCGGTGAGCCCTCACAATCCATATTTCAAACGAAGGTGAACGTGAGATTGATCAGAATGGTATCAGTCCGGTAGGGTGAGGTGGATGGTTATTGAAGGTTTGACTACCAAAAGCTTTGAAGGGGGGGATGGTGATATTTGTAGATGCAATCATTGAGATTATTTTGCAAGAAAGTGAGCGCTGCTTGAATAGCGGGGAAGTCCGCATGGAATTCGGGATTTCATGTATAATTGAGTTTAAGCATAAACCCTGCAGTGCTTTATAGGAATCTTGGCAGAATGAGATGAACATTGGAGACTAGATTACATCAATATTCAAAGAATCAGTAGCATCCATAGCTCTTTCTGCTAGATTTTGACTTAGCTGTAAGAGCAAGAATACTGATTGACATGGCTGTAACAATCACCACTCATGTGAACACACATGTCACTATCCTGGCTTTGTATTCACGGATTTCTGCTTCAACCATCCGATGCGCCTTTCACTGTCGAATGATGGAAAACAAAGCATTTTCATGACTTCAATTTCTATCCATCAATTATCACATGTTACAAAGCTACATGAATGTTGGCTTTTGTGTTGGTATATGTCAGGGGGCCAAGCATCAGCCAACATGTCATAGTCTATAAACTTCGACTGGATAAAAGAAGTTTCGGGAGCAAGCTTCACTTTGTAGCCATATCCCGGACGGGATCTCTGCGGTAATGGCATCTCAGCAATTTCTCATGGCTGGTCAGACATTAGAAGACGGAGAATCGGAATTTACCACTCCAAGGAAAGACATACATATTCTAAGAAGGTCCGCATACTCCGCAGGTTCTCTTTCCCAATGTCAGTTGATAACCAATATAATTATAATTAGATCTCCGCGGCGGCATTCTATACCTCGAGAATGTGACCCCCCACTCACATGAACAATCATTCGGCCCTTGAGAACTCTTTTCTCAAAAGCTCTCATCACTACCTATGTACCCCCAATAGCTATAGAGGTAATCTTATACATTCTCAGTAGTCTTCGAAACTGTCAGTGAACATTCTCCTGCAATATAAGTGCTCACTGATGGGCTACGCATTGGTGATATAGTAAAATGATAATGATTCAATGAATTGCTCTATCCACTGTTGATCTACTATGTAACTGGGCAGAGAATTACTCTAAATTATTGTGTTTCTTTTGATTGAGCCATCTTACCCTCTGAATTGCACACTTCCTCATCAAGTTGCCCCCTTCACATTCCCACCACAACGCGATCGGAGCTAGGTCCACATTATATGACATTACTATGGTGCAAGTCTTGCGTTCCATATGACTATACTTCCCTTACCAACCTGCGAGCATGTATGGGTACCATTGCGCACTGGAAACTAAAGTTGCCATTTCCTCGCGCTTTGCAAAGTGGCTTTCCAGACGAGGCTTAGATGATTGCGTGAGAGAGTGAACCGACGCAGTAAGCAAATAAATCCGTACAGTAACACAACACATCTAGGGGCTTCTGCCATGTCTGGACTATGAGTGGCAGAGCTGAAAGACAAGTGCGGAGACGGCGGGAAGGAGGTGAAAGAATGATGGCAGTGTGTCTATCCGCGGACAAAATGAAAAAGGGGCATTCTCAACTCCCAGTCTTGTGTCGGAATGTCTGCATTTTTTAATTTTGGGGCGAAGCGGTTTTCTTTTCTTTCGGCGATTGAGTTCCTCGCGGTCGCTGCCACCTATCCACGTGCAAGCATACATATATACGCCTATTCCCTTCTGAACAGGCTGCTGAGTTTTACCATCCATCTAGGCTTCTCATCTTTGTCTCGTCTGTACTGCTTATATCACAATGAGATTTCTGGCTGCCCTGTCTTCGGCTGCCCTTATGGCAAGCTTTACTTCAGCGCAGTCTACACTTTATGAGCACGTAAGTCAAGTCCGGCCATTGCTACCTTTGCACTTTCGTATCACTTATTCTCGATGTGTAATGCTTACTTTGGGTCCAGACATTGCTATTTCCGCAGGCGAACTTTCATGGTAGTGATGGCACCGCTGCCACCACTAGTTGCACCACTTTGCCAGGGTGAGTGTCACCCCTTGCCCCCCAACCACCTCATCTAAAACGCGAGGTAGCTGACTAGGAAACCGACTAACTGACTGTTGATAACATAGTGACGCCCGGATTGGATCTATCCGCATTTCGGAGGAGGAGATTTGCAGTTTGTATCCGTATGGTGGCGCTCGTTCTTGCTCCAATCAATCAAGCAACTAACAGAATTAGAAATAACTACTGTCAAGGCGATGTTAAACAGGACATCAATGAGAATGTGGCTCAATTCCCGGACTCTGAAACCTGGATTGGTGTTCTCTGTACTTTCGCAACTGATGAAGATAATTAATTGAGTGTCGCCTCGAACTATTATTAGTCGTAGTTCCACACCTATCAGACCTCAATTCAATTTGGTTTCCAATGCTTATTAGTCTATATACTTCATGAGTTCTTCAAAGGCTTTGATAGTAACATATCTTGAGCGGATTCTAGCTACATCAGACCTAGTCAGACTAGAATGACTGTCATGCAGATAGCGGCAAGACTATCTCATAGAAGAGATCCACGACTTTTCATTTGAATAAGCTCAAAAGGCAGTTTTATCGGCATCTGCCGCTCTAGAAAAAAGATCGGTGATAGGAATGACCCCACAGCAGTGCTGATTCACGGCAACTTCCTATGGCTAATCGAAGAAAAAAAAAAAAAAAAAAAAAAAAAGAAGAAGAAGAAAGAAGAAGAAGAAAGAAAGAAAGAAAAGAAAATAGCGTAGGGAACTGGAATGTGCCGGTGTAATGAAGGGAAAGTGAAACCTCAAGAAATTTATAAGTCCTCCATTATTCCCAATGTGTCAGATTTGTCTAGGAAGACATAGTATTCACAGTAGCAGGCACTTCAGTCACCATTTGTTTGCTAAGGTGCTTTTTATTACTCATGTGAATTACCAATGCTTGAATTGACATTCTAGTGGCCTTAGAACATGTACATAAATGCTTCAGACCTCCCCAGTCTCCCCTCAGGGCCTTCTCCTCGGCCCTGAACCATCTTCCCTTCAAGCTTGCCGACGGATCTGTGGTCTCGTCGGGGTTCCTCTCGTGGGAAGGGGTCACTGTCGAATACCTTACTCAAATAATCCCAACTCATCCACCAATACTGACGAAAATGGCTACATACACAGGGTATTGTCCGGAAGACTGCACCATTAGGTCCGGCGGGATCCCGAGACACATAGCCAGCATTTCGTAATGAACCTGACTTCGTCGCCAAATTCCTGAGGTTGTTATCTATATAATATTACGGAACGAATAAGCGTCATTGCCGCAATGTCAGTGTGCGAAGGAAGACAGCCAAATTTGGGCACAAAGCTAGTCTGCACGCTGACATGCCAAGTGCCAGAATTACTGACCAACAAAAGAAGGCGTTATCGCAAACCATAATGATTGGTTGGGTCCGTGCAGTGATGCTACGTATACAGAAGCTTGGCCTTCTGCACGCAGACATTCCAGTATCACCTGGAAGGTAGACGCCACTGGGCTGAGAATTCTCTCCACAAAGAAGAGGAGATGCTTTCGTGACATTGCACCCGATCTATGACCAGATGAGCCGTGGTTGGTTCGCGATAGCCGAAAGCCACCTCAATTTTAATGTCTTTATCAAGATCTCTTCTGGATCGCTGCTCTCAAGAAATTATCCCGGAGTGAGTCTCTAAAAGAGGAGTGAATGCAAGTTCCATCTCAGTTCTGGCATCTCCACATAGCGAGAATGACATCAACGTATCTAACATTCAGTATTGAATAGCCCCTATGCTGGGCAACCTTGTGAGCAGTCGCCATTACTTCCACAACCCAGTTTTTTTTCTTGTTCACGCAGAGCGTATCAAGCGCAATGGCTCCATTATATCTTGGTCAGACGAGCTCAAATCTATAGAAGGGCAACTATAGTGTCAATCGGCAAATCGAGGCACACATTGTGCCATCGCAAGACTATGACTCCTGCATGTGAATGGCCAACGCAGGATCGTGCCATTATAGCATTATACAAGACGTGACTATAGCCAGAATTGTCCAAGAGGAACAAAGACAATTGTATTACTGACAACGCTGGGCCGCAGATAGCTTCTTCTTCATTTTTCTTCGCCTTTTGCTCGCCTTTTCCTCGCCTTTTCCTCGCCTTTTCTTTCCTTAGCCTTCCTTTCCAATTCTTCCTTCAACCCTTGATTCAAGCCTCTATTCTCTTTGTGAAACCTAAACAACTACCTTTCCAGATTTTTAATGACTCTGTTAATGAATGAACAATCAGAATGAATCTCTGCTAAGATGCCTGGAACTCCTTGGACCCTTTTCTGCAGCACAGCCTGGATGAGGTCTCAGACAACCAGAGAGAACAACAGTCTGTGACTGCTAACCCCCACCAGAGGCAACAACAGAGAAAAGCGTTACACGCCACAGCTACGAAAGATCTTTTCCCACATACAACAACCGAGCTCACATATGGTCAAATATTGCATCTACTATCACCTCAGCAACGCAGTCTCAGTGGATTGGACTTGGTCTTATTGCTACAACATCTCCATTTCTGAAACTATTCAGAACCCGAAATAGTCATCAGACAGCTTGAACACTTGATCAACTCTCTGGAACGCCACCGCGGCAGTCATGGAACACGTCGATCTGGAACCTAGACACAGAAACCTTGCAGGCTGATTATTATTACAAGTACGCCACAAGGTTTGCACTTATTTAAAGAATATTTTATTGTCAACATACGCTGCATGATGCCTATCTCGCTCACACACGACGCGATCTTCCATTACTATTTCGAACGATGCTCTGTCTTTATGCTTGAGAACCTTTCAGGCGAGACTTTCGTGTTGCTCTACCCAAGACAGTTCTCAAATGATTCTGTCCAAATAATGACTGACAGTACACATTTCACTGGTTTTCTGTTATCCTTCAAAGAAATATGTTGCAAAAGTAATCAATTACTGCGAGACGAAGCTACCCTGGCGAAGAAAGTGAGGAAGAAAGCATCCCAGTTACATCTACGTCTGATTGAGCAGACATTGAGTTGAACAGGGGAAGCGAGAGAGGGGGATTGACTGCCATATCTATGTCCAATGTTGTTATGTAATAAAAGCAGCAACGTTAATCAATCGAGGATCATTGAAGGGCAGGTTAGAGGGACGTGTCAAGAATTGGAGACTATATACACAAACTTGGGTGATTTTCTTCCATACAGGAGTGAAAACCCTCCAAATTATGGTTTAATTGGAAGCGAACGAGGTTTGAAATCGCTAGTGCATTGTTTCCTTCAAAAGGTTATGAGCCCGGATGGGTTCTACTATCTATTCTGCCTTCCACCTAAGTGGAAGATTTTCGGAACACAGCGCATACTCTTTTTCAGTACTTTTCGTGAAGGATACTTCTTCAGGAAGCTTGAAATCCACTCAACAGGTTATAAGCCCGATTGCGTCTCGAATATTTCATCAGCAGAGGATGACTTCAAATCAGTGGTATAAACATGACGATACCACTTATCGTGAATAAAGTACATTCTGCAACTGTCACTACCCTCAATATTACGATCCCACATGTTTGCTGCTCAGAGACCTAAGAAAGGCAAAGGACCTTCGGAATACAACCGATATAATCTTCTTATTGCTCATGCAAGGCTATATTGGCCCGGAACTAATGCCTTTCTTGCAGAACCCCATCAATTAAAGCTGGTGGAACAACATAGCTTTCTGAAATGAGAATGGGGTATCTAAGTCATCGCCCAGTGTTCCAGATGATTGCGGCGCCACAGGGCTTCCAGAAAGCATTGACGCCAATGTATTGAATTCCAATTTATGACACATAAGTTGTGCTTGAGCTGCGCGGACGGCAGACATTCAAGCACTCCGCTGTGCCCTGGAACGACTGTAACGTATCTGCAATGTGTCGGTACACGTTGTGAGGAATTGAATGGCTATCAAGGATTTCAGGCGCCGGTTAATATATCGTCACATCTTATAACCATGAGCTCCAGCTTCTAGACTGCGGGTGTCTTTGACGCCAAGATCTTCGCTTCATCACAAAGAACGAAGGTATATATAACAGGGCTAGTGAGCCTTCTTGGCTAGCCTTTAGGGGCAAAGAGCCATATTATTCTCTGAGCAAACACTCTGCCGATGATAGGAAGGCAGAAAAAAAAAGAAGTGAAAGCGGAATTTCTTCGAAGGAAGATACTGTACAAAAGATACTAGTCATCAGAACTATATTGAACTTCTGAGAACCTTAGGGAATGCTCACACCACAGCCTGAGGGTCATTATACCGCTCTCTTCCTCGAATTAGGCCTTGAGGAAGGGAATGTCCACATCAGTCTTCCGAAACTTCATACATTGATCTGGACCCGAAAACATCCTGTGACGGGCGAAGATGCATATGGTAAGCCCCAATTATGACTGAAGCCGAGAGGATCATTGATACTGGATTTCTGATCTTGGGTCTATATGTATGTGGAAGCAAAAGCGTTCTCATTGAATACTACATCAATATTATCATCATAACTCAATACAGCGGGAAGGAACGGTTGCAAATGTTTGTATATGACCCATCGATATCTCAAGGCGCGCGTTGGTGTTTGAAGACCATGAAGGCAAAGATAGCAAAATATCAGATATGCGAAAGATTAGAGTTTTGGAGATGCTCCTTCCACGTCAAACTCAGTTGTGCAAAGTAAGAAGGTGTCCTTCAAAGCCTGTAATACATCAGCACCTGTAGCTTCCTATCCAGCAGACAACTGAACTTACCGACAATCTATACTTTTCGTTGATCTCCTGGTAGTCCTCTCCAGCAAGCATATCACAAAAGTGGCGGATAGAAGGATAATGCACGATGGATATCTCATTCCACCAATCCTCCTCCTTTCTATCCCAGACTCCTCTCGAGTCCACAGCATCTGCAGTTCCAGACTTCGGCTTTACCACATTACCCACTATCTTTGCATCTCCGCCTCTCTTTCCAGCCACAGGAATGAAAGACTGCCCATACTGGTGGTAGCTCTTCTTCCCATTTGGGTAGTTGAAATGTAGCAAATTGAGCATCGTTACAGGCCCCGAATGCTGAGGTGTAAGCTTATCCATAAAGTTAAGGAGATCGGGTGAGAGCTCCAAGCTCTGAGAGGTCGGTTTGCTGCGTGCCTGGTCTAAGGATCCAGTCAATGGGACGGATGAAGCAGTGCGCTTAAGGGACTCGTCTCGTGAGGCGTAGGTGGCGAGTAGTTTGGAAGGTATTCCCACTGTTACATGGTACTGGGTCTTGATTTGAGATTGAAGAGTAGAGGGGATCGGAGGTGAATCCGAAGGCGGTTGGATAAGAACGAGAAGATCCCAAGGCGTCTTGGTTAGAATGTCCTGGTCGAGGACTGTGGGACGAATCACGGCATGTCGCGGTCTAGAGCTTACGATCACGGTACGAGAGGAGCGGAGAGAGTTGAGAAAGGTGCTTGTGTCGGTATTGAGTGCAAGCAGGTAGAGTGATGCGACTGGCATATTGGGCTGTGGGTCGTATAGAGGCCAAACAAAGGAGTCAAGGGTTATCTATCTAAGAAAATTTCGAAATCACCGCAGAGGCTGGCATCTGCATATGCGGTAGATATCGAGAGTTGCCTTATTATCAGAACGATGTTTTAGGTAAAGACAAGGAGATACGAAGCAATATCCTTAGAAGAGATATGGAGAGGAGAGACGCGGAGATGGCGGAGATGCCTCGGCTGTCGGTCCCCCCGCACGTCACGTGGCACCCCACATTCCTGCATTTCCCCATTTGGATAGTTTTATGTGCAACCTGCAAAGCAACTTTATTCGTGACAGATACCCCTCGGGATGCCGATATCGGCAGTACTCTATACTTAAGGAGGCTTGTTACAAGCTATCATCGGGGTTGTAGGTCACCTGGAAAAAACAGATCCCGCCATGCCGTCTCTGGATGGATCCTTTCAGAGAAATATGACGCAGCTGTGGGAGGTCCAACACGCTACGGCTCACTGGGGGAGCTAATACGCCCTCGAAAAGCGGGCAGGAGAGACTCGCAGAGCCTATGATGGCATGATCGGCAGTTAACAGGTAATGGGAGCCGCAGTTGCACAGGGTCTGTGTCGGTCAAGCATTGGGGCCATGCCGTGAAAAGGTTTCTCTCCGGGATTCCAGCATTCGGGATGGCTTCTCCGAATGGCGGAGATACGAATAGCCTAATTTCCTCCTCAACTTCCCCACATTTCCTCCAGTTTTGGCCGCGTGCGGAACAGACTTTATCCTCCACTACGATCGCAAAACAGGCAATTTTGGTTTCGCATAAATACCTGGGGAGCCATGGTCTCTGTCGGCGTAGCAACCCACCTTCACTGGCACAATGAGGGGCCGTACGTTCATCGCCACCCTGAGCTTGCTGTATAGCTGTGTACCAGCAGATGCCAGTCTCACGGTACTCTTCCAGAATGATGGCAACTGGACAACGCATGCTGAAAAGCCCAGCGCACTCTTCGTCAACAATGCCTTGACCTACCAAGATGCGCAGGAAACCTGTGCGCAGTACAATGAATCACTTCTTAGCTGCAAAGACTATCCCGACTTCCATTATTCATTCACATACCAACAATATTTGAAGAACATTGGCTCAGACCAGCTCTTCTGGTCTTCTTGCAGCTCAGACCGTCCGACATCTTGGAATGGCGAACTAGCCAATACTTCCTCGCCTGCTAGTCTTCCCTTCCTATGCTCCAATTCCGCAGAGTTCGTCAAGCAAGTGGACACCGATTATTCTCACTTCCCAAGAGTCAATGCTAGCACCAATGGCGTCACCTTCGAGGGTCTGCGCGACCACATGGCATTCCGCTTTATGGGAATCCCCTTCGCCCAGCCCCCCGTGGGAGAACTTCGCTTCAAATATGCCCAAGAATGGGCTGAGAGCTCTTACGTCAACGCCACCAGATACGGCCCTGCATGTATCCAATCTGGCTGGTATGACGGAAACAGCTACGGCCTCAACCCCTGGGGAAATAGCGAAGACTGCTTGCATTTGAACGTCTACACCCCTTCTCTTCCATCAGCCAAAAACGAAATAAATTCCTACAGGCCAGTCATGCTCTGGATCCACGGAGGTGGCGAGACTTCAGGAACCGGTGCCGACTCCACCTTCGACGGCGACAGCTTCGTCAGCCGCAACGACGTCGTTCTAGTCACCATAAACTACCGGGTCAACATCTTCGGCTACCTGAGCCTCGATGACTCTACCATTCCCGGGAACGCTCAACTCACTGACAAGATTGAGGCGCTCAAATGGGTCCAGAAATACATCCGAGCCTTTGGCGGAGACCCCAATAACGTGACCATCTTCGGTCAATCCGCCGGTGCTTCGTCCGTCATCGATCTCCTCACTACCCCCAAAGCCAACGGCCTTTTCCAAAACGCCATCGCCCAGTCCATCGCCGGCCACGTCGAGACCTCCAACGCTTCAGCTGCCGCTATTCTCCCTTACATTCAGCCCCTCTGCAATAACACTACTGGAACCCAGCGCCTCAAGTGCCTGCAATCCCTCCCGGCTGAAACCCTCCTCAACATCAGCTCCTACGTAACCTGGGACACCGTCATCGACAACCGCTATATCTTCGACTACCCACTCACCCAAATCGCTAAAGGCGTGATCAACAAGGTCAACTTCATTACCGGCTTCATGCCCGAGGAGGCGCAATCCATCCTCCAGACCACCATCTCCCCCAACGCAACAAACTTCACCACCACCCTCCAGACCCTCGTCAGCAGCGGCTCCATCACAAAGTCTGAAGAGGACGCCGTGCTCTCCTCCGACCTCTGGAGAAACTACTCCACTCCCTACAACGCAACCATCCACGTTGACTCGCCCGCCGGCATGACCTGCTACTCCAAGGAATTTGCCTCCGTCGGCGCAGCATCCCACGCATACAACAGTCTCTACGTGTACTTGCACCAGCGCGCCTACGGCCTAAATTACTATGACTGGTATGATCTCTGCACGTACCCCGTTGGCAAGCCCGATACACCTTACTACAAATGTCACTCTGGAGATCTGTATGAGGTGTTCGGTACATACTATCTATTTGATTTGCCGGTCCGTGCGCCGGAGGATATCTATTACACAAATATGGTGCAGGATATGTGGGCAGCCTTTGCCAGACGCGGCGATCCGAATGTTGACGAGGGGTATCTTCGTGCAAGGGGGTACTTCAGCAGCCTGAAGTTGATGGAGAGGTGGCAGTGGGATAAGTTCACGGAGGGAAGTGGAAGCAAGAACGTGGCTAATCTGCAGTATCCCGTGCCATTCTACTCGGGATTACCGTATATGGATGAATGTGCTGTTCTGGGCCTGGAGCATACCAACTAGAGAGATAGACTGTATTTTGCGAGATATATAACCAAGACAATCATTCTAGCTAATAGGCGTTATTTCTTCATACGAACCTCAAACGATGCAACACGGCGATGCTCTGGTGGCAACTCAGTAACCCTCACTGCAACGGCCAGCTACGCCATTTAATAGGCCAGGTCTTTTCTTCTCGATCCGACGGCCAAATAGACTCGAATATCTCCAAATCCATGCTGCGCATCGTCTCGCCCCGTTTGCGTTTCGGCTTGAAGCGGTTTTCCGCCCGCATTTTGTTGGCCCCATCCCACTCGACCTGCCACGCGCCACCCATCTCCCGGTGGTAATCGCCGCCTCCGAGCAGCACATGGCCCGTGATGCCCGGCGTTCGCTGATACTGCCCAATCTCGCCTGATAGGGGGTGCAGTCGGAGCACTCGGAGGGATCTCCTCGTTTTTTGGCCCCGGATGCGCATAAAGATCGCTGTAGCTAGCGCTTCGTCGAACGCACTGTGTCCCGAACCGTCCACTTGAAAGGCTGCCGTGCCAGGCTGGGATCGTCTGGCGCTCGTACGCAGTGAGCTCCCGTGGGGGAAATGGGGTCTCGTAGCCTGAGATCATGACGGGTAGGCAGTTGAGGTGAAGGTCCAGTGTGTGGAGGGCTGGGAAACGGCCCAGAGCATCGTAAGCGGCCGTCTCGGTTGGGTGGCCCCGGTACCGTTGCACGGTGATCCGCAGCGTCTGTAGGACAGGGCAGTGGGCCGCCATGTTGGCGATCACGTCCGCAGGGAAGATCGGAGCAATTTGCCCCCGCCGCACGAGTCGGTAGGGCTCGTAGTTCTGGAACCGGGGTCGGGGCCTGTGCAGCTGCAGCTCGTTTAGCGTTAGGCCGTGGCGATCCAGGATAGCGGTAGGGAGCCATTCTGGGTGGTAGGACCCCAGCAGGCAGAGATAGGTTAAGGGCGGGAGGGCGTTGAACATGGCTTTAACTGTTGAGAGCCAGGTAGGAGAGGTTTCTGGGGGGTTCAGGGCGAGGCTTAGTCGCTTTAGGGCCCGGAAGGGCTGCAGTTGGGCTATGGTTGTTAAGAGGGTGATGTCCTCGATGGCACCGGCGGTCCACGCGGCGAGGTATCTTAGATCGGTAACCCGGGACCAGGCCTGCAGGTTCTGCGCGGTCATCTTGCTTATCAATGGGAATGAAAGCATTTCCAATTGCGCGCGTGGATGGATATTGACCTCGTCCTCCGACGGCTGGGCCTGCAGCCACTTGGTGTTCCGCTGACAGGAGCTGGGGCCCGGCGTGGCGCTGATCTGCAACGTCAGACGCTTGATCCCCGGCGCTTGACGGAGAATGTTCCGCAGAAGGCGATCCGGGTGTTCGGCGAAGAATTGGCCTCTGGAATGTTCATAGTAAACGATCCAAGCGGCCTTCACCACGGTAGAGTGGATCCATTTCTTTTGTGTGATACCCGCTCGGTAGGTATCGGGGCTGGCGGAGAACACCGAAACGTGACAGTCTGGATGAGTCTCTGCTAGGGTATCTAGCAGGGCCAGCGGGTATGATGGGCGCAGTAAAAGATGAAGCCGCTACAAACACACCAACCGTTGGAGGAGGGAGATAACTGGGCCCCAATCCCCTTTGTATCCACGCAGTATGGGAGGGACATCGATATTCTCGGGGCGCGTCTCATTGAGATACTTCCCTACGTCGGTTTTACCTAAGTTCGAGGAGGTGGGATCCACGAGGGTGAGATATCTAATATGCGGCAAGACAAGAGTGGCGTCTAACAACTGAAGCACACGGTGAGGTGGCTCGTCCGACTTCAGGCGGAGAGTAAGATCTTTATAGAGACTCGGTGCCGTAATCTGGTTCCACTGGCGGTTCACCTGTGATAAAGCCCGCAGGGTTTCCCACGACACATCGCGAACCTAGGTTCCTAATTAGTTGGTTTCGAATGCTAATCGCAGTGTTCTTACTATTCCAGCGATTGAATGCTTTAGCTCCAGGGGTAGACACTCCATGTTCACAACTCCGTAAAACAGCAGTGGAAATGGTGAAATGAGGTAGTAACGGGGTATCATAAATAGAGGACAGTTGTCAGGTGACCATACTCATCCCTATGGTATATAATACGTTTGCGCTAGTATTGCTGGTTCACATTAATCTCTTATCAGCCGTATTACCAGGAAGTATGTTATTCTCGTCGATGTTGATATCCAGAGATAGTCAGCCATATGTTGAGCTGCTGATGGCAGTTCCGTTCCGTTTCTAAAGCAATCTTCTTTCTATAAGCCGAGGTGACACAGCGAACCTCATATCAAAGAACAGTGTCGATGCTGGAAATCAGATAGCTTACGTCCATGGTTTGAAGCTTCAACAGCTGCAAGAGACGCTCCTAGATTCCAGCAGGACCAGGATAACTAATACATCCAGTTATGTATTTCCTTTTATGAAGCTTCAACCGCTTTCCTTACCACAGGCGATACGGAAAATACTACCAAACAAGGTTCTTGTGACAATCCGCTCTTTGTGGGCGAGGCTGCAAATTCCATTTCTGTGCATTTCTGCAGGATCCAGCTTATGATTCATGCTCCATGCAATCAAGGGACATTGAAATTCCCAAGGAACTGCGGAACTCTTCCAGGAAAGCTAATACGCCTTAACGATGGCTAGCCAAAGCCATCAGTGGACTTATCGAGACTTCAACCAGGTAGGCATACTGAATATTAACAAAGGGCTGCAATTCGTGTCTAATAAATTCATCTCGGATTCGGGTCAGCTGACCTATCACTACCACCTCCACCAACCGCATTGACTACAGATCAAGTCCCAGGAACTTTAAATGAGCATCTACACTAAGCACTAGTCATGTCGACCCTGTTGGCTCGCCTATTATACCAGTACACATCTAATAATCGGTATCATAACCTAGGAGCAAGATAGCGCTCTACAATTACTGCCGTGAGTTCCCCAGAATTCCGGAATCTGAAAATGATACAAATGAAGCCTAAGGAGCACCAAGCTTATTCTTGAGCTTATGGTACCAAAGTGTAACCTATATTGACCTGTTGGACAAGATGAAGGACACCTCAAATGTCGGAATGCGCTCTTTGTCGACGATAGGGCAAAAACAGGGCCGGGCATAATGCGTAGAGGCTGTGGAAGAAATCCAAACGCTTGTTTCTCACGAGAGGAGGCTTATGAGACTGGGCGATGATGTTTCTGATTTATGTTGCTTGTCTTTTGTTGATGATATCTTTGACGGTCGTCTCCCCTTTTTCTTTAAGCAAATACTACGTCTCTCGCCTATGATGATGAAGATCAAGTCTTACGATAAGCATTTATAGCTATTTACACTGTCAAAATCACTCAGTGGCCTATAGAATGATTCCTTGGAAGGCTTTGTTTCTCAAGATTCTCCTATGGCATTCCAACACGCCCATGATAGCAACAACCTCCAGCTTGCCGGCTTTAGAAGGCCATCATATCTCCGTCCACAAAGCTTATGACTTCATTCAATGATCCTTCCACATGCATATATTCAGTGACCGGTTCATTCTGTCTCCCTTACCTCGAATGCTCATATTCAATCGAACATGGCTCCATTCCCTTCTTCATCGACATCACCGAAGAGACTGGCGTTTCATCACGCCCTGATATCAGCATCCCTAGACTATTCACGAAGTCATGCTCTCATTGAATTCTCTCAGTCAATTTTGCATCGATATTCCTTGTCTGGATAGTTGATTTTCACTAGCTTGCTATCACCGTCGCATCCAGTGGCCCTCGTTCTCCAGGTATAAATATCCCTCTCATTTCTGACTTTGATCTCTTTCTTCCTCCCATCTCAGGCATTCTCTTATACTTCAATCTTGTCTCTTTCTATCAAGAACTTAAGAAGACCAAATAAAAATAAAAATTAAGATCCATAAAACTTTATGTACATACAATCAATAGCATATAGCGAGCCTTGCCCTAATAATGATTGAGGGCTTAGTCTAGGGACTGAGGAGACGGGCACTATATTATACATTGGCTGATAATAAATTGCAGGTAAGTGTTTCCATGCAGATAGTTTAATTATTCTCTTCGGTCTTTTATAGTAGCGCAAGTTGTTGTCTAATCTTATTTGTTTCTCTTTTTTCTTTAAAATGCTGTTCGAGTCAACCGGATGAGACGTATCACAACATAATATTATCATATACTAATATCAAACGTCATATACTGAGATAGATTTGCCCTACTTTATGCAGCTAAACCCAGTAGGGCCCAAGGCCCAAAACAGGCTTTTACGTGTGACTCCTCTTTTGATATTTTCTATGTTCTAAAAAGAACGGGTAAACGGGTCTTAAAAGTGCCCAAACAAACTGAGTAGTAAGGACAAGTTTTTCCACGGACAAACTGAAGGGTATATATTCTTATATTTACAGTCAGTATATGACAAAGCAAAGTTGGGCATAGTCTTTTGATTTAAATATGAACAATCGTTCATATTTAGATAATATAGAAGATTATCTGTTCAAGATTAAGCCTCTCTTGAGGTTATAAGACCCAAGGTAAGCCTGACAACTCAACTTTCAAAATGCACTCCTCTCGCAAAGCCCAAAATGCCAAAGAGGGTTAAGAACCAATCTAGCGTCAATGACTACTTCAAGAGGAAGCAGGATAAGGTCAGTGACCTTAATCCAGCAATCTCTCTTCCAACAAACGTCACTGAGTCTGCGATCAGTGATACTAACTAAGTTTATAGATTATAGATGCACTAGACGATGCAGGTGTTGTTGTGCCTGCCGGCATACTACCGGTAACAAGACTCCTTACACCAGCTCAGAAGCTACGGGAAAAAGAACTGCGTGATGAACTCCACAGATTGAAGTTGTTGGAGGATGAATATCGTGAGGAATTCAACCGCAAGAAAGATCAATGGACTTCCTCGCGCAAGGAGTTGGTAGACCAACTTGCCGCTCACGACGAGTCCTACAAGACAGAGATCGAGCCCGACGAGAAACTGTTGACTGATGACGACGCGAACATCAAGGCTATTGTTTTTTAAAGACCAAGACTTCATGAGCAAAACACTAGGCATGTTAGGAGCATATTAATAGACAAAGAACAAGAGAAATAATAGCTCACAGGCAGCTAGCAGGCTGCATACACTCACCCATATTCGCTTAATGTAGCCACGCTTTTGCTTTTACCTTCCTACATCATGGCAAGCGTTTCTTTTTGTATTCTACATGTGTCTACAAGTATTTACTGCAAGTTAAAAGGACTTAAAGGCGTTTAGAGCCATATTCTTTGCTTCAAACAGTGAAGAACCTACATAGCTAGCATCTAACTAAGCCGGCTCGATCGGGTATAAGAATATGAATTAAATTGAGTTGACTCATCGGCAGCACCATGGCTGGCAAACCGTCGGAAGAACTGGCAGTTGAATTAAAGTGGTCCGTTATAGATCTACATAGTAAAGAGCCGGGCGTAAATCCAATCAAGGCACTTGAAGGGATAGATATAACCGTAACCTAAGAGCTGCAGAATGAAAAAAAAAAAAAATAAATAAATAAATAAATAAATAAAATAAAATAAAATAAAAAAAAAAAAAAAAAGAACAAAGAATATGAGACTGGAGGTAGAGGCCACAAAAGGCAGGGTATCAGGTGATGTGTCCACAGTAAGAGGACTGCATCTTTTGCTTCTCGATCTTCCGTTTCAGCTACCATCTCCATCATCCTCATCACCCCCACCATCACCACGACCACCACCACCACTACTGCTACTACTACTACTACTACTACTACTACTACTACTACTACCCTTACTACTACTACTACCACTACCATGCCTGGTAAGTACCACCTCAGACAATTCCACATCGATACACACCTATCAATCCATACTTACTGTCTCCTTTTAGCCAACGGAGTGAGCATACTCTCAATACTTTATATCATTTATTCCCTCGCGTCGCCTCATCAACAACAGCATTCAGTCGAATAGTATACAACACCTCACACTTTCATCACAATATAGCTCGTTTGTGTTATACTTGATCTTATTACTAACTAAAGTTCATTGCAGGAGCAGCAGCAACAGCAACAGCAGCAACAGACCGGGCCGGGGCCCGCCGAAACTGTTAGTACAAGATACTATTGTTTTCATTATGATATTACCTAATGACATACACATAGACCCCGGAGGAGGCTGCCGCGAAGGCTCAGAGACGGCGGGAGCTGATGGAGGAGATTTTTCGCCTGGAGGACGAGTATATAGACCATCTACTAAATGTCGAGGAGAAACAGCGGCGCTGGAATGAGCAGAGGGAGGTGCTGGTGAACGCTCTCGCTGCCGTTGACGAGTACATCCGCCTCCAGGAGGAGAATGGTTGGGAGGACGAGACCGAAGACGCCTGAGAATGAGAACTTCTTTTTTTTCCTTTCTTCCTTGATATACTTCACTTACTTCCTGAGTAGGTGTAGTCCGTCACATTCCCGTACTGAATGTAGCAAGACCCATACGATCTACGAAGCCTGTAAGGATACCCCACTGGTGTGCATGACATCCTTCGCCAGTATGGACTCGCTGCAGGAAGAGAATAAAGCGACCATAAAATACCAGTAGAGACCTAGAAGGATCGCTGTTGAGAGAATTATCCCAAGGGAGATACATTACCACTTTCTACCGAGTACATGTTTAGCGCAGGAAAGACACTACTTTATAGTGTTGGCGGTTGCCGTGGCCGGTTGGTCTTAAAGCCTCGCTTTCCAGGTAGCCAGTGTCTTCCCTTGACACCATCATCTTGTCCTCTACGGTGTCTTTTTCTACGCTGATTCTATCTCTCTCACTCCCTTCCCCTTCCTTAATACTCGCTTATTTTTGTCAGCACCTCATTTACCCTTCGCTAGGAGATCATCTCATATTATCACGAGTCGATGAACTGCGAGCCTCTCTATTCCCACCCGCGTTAGTTTGATGATAATTGGCGACTCTTCAAAGATCCATGCCCACTCTAGACCCAGCCGCTGACCTCTTGCTTTTCTTTAGTGCTATCCCATTATCCGAGGCTCTCGGTTTCTACGAATCGCGTCAATCATCCACGAGAAAGAATTCATCAACATCTGCTACCTCCCTCCACCCGACATCCCTCTCCATACCACTCGCTCCCTATACAACGATACGAACTACATCACCTCAAGAAAACCACTCGTCATAACCCACCTCCGTATCAGCGTTCAGCCCATCATCCACAGCAAACAACCACCCAGGCAGTGCTACCACAGCATAACAAACATAATAGCGAGGCTAGTACACATGAACCAGAAGGAGAATCCCGATTGAAGTTAAATCATTGTCCAAGAAACGCCCCAATAATAATGCTGTTTGGTTTCAATTCCTTCCAGTAAGCCTTCCTACATTTTGATCTCAAGCACTAGAGTTTCAGAAATCTCTCGCGAGCGCTGATTTTTGGGTCTAGTTCAAGTAATAGGTCGAGCTTTTGTTCCCAAAGCATCAGTTGATACGAAACGCCTATAACCCTTACTATACGATGTGACTTTATAAGGTTCCATGCAAGGCGCGGTCCATAGACGGGTGGCTGGATCAGGTGTCGATTATCAGCAGCAGCTTTGTCGGGTTCTCGCTGATATTGAGTTGCGTGTTAGACACTGGATCAGTGTCTGCTAGATCAGCCATGCTGACTTATTCTTGTCTATGCCAATACCCCAGGTAACCGTGTTGCCCATGTGCTTTTGGTTGCTCCTTCGAAGCGCCGTTGGCTCGAAATGGACCATTGGACTAGAAAGCTGGCAAGCAAGTCTACATTGATCTTGATGCCTTTTGACAGCTAGGTCATTTGCATTAATCCAAGACTTATTCTCACAAGAAGTCCGATTTTGTGCTTTAGAGGCTAGGAAGACTATGTCATACTGGCTTCCTGCTCAATGGTATGCGCGTCCTTGGCTGCTGTTGGTGAAGAAGATGAGTGCAATATAACAAGTCTTGTCTGGTCGCCGACGAGCGGTTTGGCCGCAGCCACGAGTCTTAAGTTTAAACGTATGTCCACTTCAGCGCAACATATCATTCGCTTGCTGCTTCCTGCTTCGTGAAGCCATTCCTGTAGTTTCTCAACCGATCAGATACCCGTAGCCCAGCCTCTCTGCATCCCCTCATGGTCCAATATGCCTTTTCGCCACTCCCAGTAGCTTTCGGTATGGTCGTGTTGTGGGACAATGTATCAGCGTGGTCTTGTTGGGGCCTCCTCACGTCTTGTTCTATGTACATCTTGGCGATACAAGTGGTTGTTCACCCCATAGACTGCATAAACGCTTTCTCATCTTAACACATCCCTTACACGTCAATAAAACCGGCCCGTTCAGGAGGTCTATGTTCTCTAGATTGCTCAAGACTGATCGACTTTGATTAGCACGAGGAACTTCCACAAACGAGCCACAGGTGTAAGTCACTAACATTGCTCCTTTTCCATTTCCAACCTGCACTTGGCACGCCTATTGAAAGCCGATACAAGCGCCGGGTTTGAAGATGACAAAGGTGTCACCATCGAAGGTCTATGTGTTAGCTAAGGTTTCGAATGTAATCTAAATGGGAATTCGCGGGCAAGACAGTAATGCTTTGAGGGTGAAAGTAGCGAGAGTTGGGGTTAGCTCATACATTGATTAACCATACCTACAATAGCCAGCATTAAATTTCAGCGCTCATCTTGGTCTCGCTTCTTGGCGATCAACACCGGACACCGCGTGAAGGTGTGAGCATGTGGCTGGGCCACATCGTCCGGCTACTGCACCATAGCCGCACCCTATGATGCAGTACCAGGTCGGCAGATGCCTTCCTGGAGGGTAAAGCGTATGCCTTGCATACACTTCAATGACACTCTATGTGTCAATGAAACCCCATTACGAAGTCCCTTTCTACCATCACAACAGTGACAGACGGGTTCATGGGAAACTTCCCACGTAAACTTCGATATTTGCGGTCGGAGTCTCTTGCTTCTAACAATGAGTGCAATATCACGACCGGCCGTCACCTCAGTTCTCCTTGGATCTGGCTCCGGCTTTAACGAGACGGTGTAGTGGGCACGCTATGTCTCTTATCCTCGATGTAATGACAATCACACCGAGGACACATTGTTGTGGCCGACTATGGGTTCACAAGATCTCCCGTCGTCAAGTCCTCAACAAGTCCACAGTTGCTATTGCTGCAAACTATGGGTGCTTTATCCTTGCGTAGTTGACGCATCCGACCCAGCCCTTGCGGCTCTGGGTCATCAGTCGTCCGCATGGAGCCATTGTGGGTAAGCGTGTGAAACACTTAAGTCTACCGGCAGCGCGGGTACCTTCAGAGGCGCCATAAATTGGTGTCCTCTTCCGACCATAGCCTTTTGCTGTTTCAACAAGAAACAGCAGACATGACACAAGAGTTCACCTGAGAAGAGGAACTAGAGCGATGCATGCGACTATTGCCCCATGCAAATGTTTCTGAGACTCGAGCTGTTCGCAACAAACTCAAACTGTTCGCAACAAGCCTAAGCTGTTCGCAACAAGCCTAAGCTATGTGCAACAAGCTTTCATCAACTGAAACCACCCACGTCCTCTCCAGCATTCTTCTGGATTGCAAGGTTTCCTGCAATCTTGGCCGAATTTAGCTACAGGAAGGGCCCCTTTGTGCCAGTCAAGACTGTCATGGTTCGGCTTGTACCCGGCATAGTGCCTTTGGCAATTCCTGAACAGAGCAAAGTCTAGCTATAGCTAGACCCTGCTCGGTGCAGCTATCCAAGCAACGGTGTGATCCTACACAGGTTTCACAGCGGGTATTGCCCAGGTGATCCATATCACCAGGGACAAAACCGGACCCGTCGCCATGAATGGGAGGTAGAGAGCCTCTAAGACTACTCCCTTCTCAAAAACAATTTGAGGACCACCCTTGCGGTTTGTCAGTCGCCTCACGCAAACTTTGCGCGAAATGGCATTGACATTGACAGTGGACAAATGCCAATGAATAAGTGACTATCACTTCTTCGAACTTGGCATCACCATCGACATCGCCGGGGTAAAAGAGACTCTTCTCATCCCTGACGATACCACTGTCATCGACTCCAAGCTATAGTGAATGCCGCTGGCATTCAAGCTTGTCGTTTGGTGACGACTTAGCATTGTGGACTCTGTCCAACTTGCTATTCTCACCCAGTATTCTGGGTCACTGACCCGGAACACTTTGGATGATGAAGCTGATATACACTGTATACTCAGCTCGTCGTCTAGTGACAGGTTTGGCGTGCTGGACCCTTGGCCAGCCTGCTATTCTCATCCATGTTTCTGGGCCACTGACCCGGATACACTTTGGATGAGAAAGCTGATATACCTTGTATACCAAGCTCTCTGTCGTGTGATGAAACAGTGTGCTGGACCTCTTGGCCAGCCTGCAGTTCCAGATGAAGCTCAATACACATGTACCAAGCCGCCGTCTAGCGACGTATCATCCTGCTGGACACCTTGGACCAGCCTGCAGCACTGTTGAAGCTGACATACACTGTATATCAAGCTCGCCGTCTAGCGACATATCAGCGTGCTGGACCTCTTGGCCAGCCCGCATTCTTATCCGGTCTTCTGGGTCACTGACCCGGAAGCGCCTTTGGATAAGAAACTTTGTGTCCGTCTTGACAGGTGTGGTGAGGCGATGAGTAACATAAGTCACTATGACTTCGAACTTATCGTTAACCTCGACGTCGTCGTCTGGGCAGGCAATATACTCATTGTCACCGACTTCGACGTCGATAACGTCCTGTTCCCCATCACTGATGAGGGCAGAATCGTCATCAGGCAGGGTCGCAGGATGGACGCAGTCCATCTCACTTTCCCCGCACTTCAGGAGCAAAGGTGAGGCCTTCTGGACACTGTCCAGCTTGCGATCACCTTCACTTGATGGCAGCTTGTTTTCAGGGACACTGTCCTTGCAGCCGCTGCCATCCCCATCCGACCCATCATCCATGCCACAGGCCCGGCGACGTTTGATCGGACGAGAGGTAGCTGGAATTGGTGCCTTGACCTCATCCTGCTTCCTCTTGAAGTAGTTTTTGATGCTGGGTTGGTTCTTAACCATTTTGGCCTTTCTGGCCTTGCTAGAGGACGGCATTGTGAGATTAGAATTCGGAGACTTACCTTTTTAACAAAGTTAAAAAAAACTATTGTCGGAGTGTGCGGTATGGTGAGGGGAGAGGTACAACTACGGCTTTCGAGATTCTACTAAGTCTGTCCATTGCCAGTCCATTTTGGGACTAGGTGGGTCCCATGACTGCCAAGGTCTTATCGACCCACCTTTCTATGCTCTCGTAGTGTCTCCTTTCTGTTTCAATTACGACCTCTGAGTATTCCCATTGAGACGCGGACGCGTACCTGCTCAGAGTTCATTGGTATCTGATCGGGTGCCGTGCTTCTGAACCGTTTGGATTATGTTCAGAAGAAGACGAAGAAGAAGACATCCCTATCCGCTTATGAACGCTCACCAGCTCGGACTTCAAGTGTATTTGACTAACATTTTCAGAATGAGTGGACAAGGTTTTGACGGACAGATATGCATGACAATCGCAGGGTTAAAAAGACTATTGACCAGTATTCCCTCGTTCTTCATTTCTTGGTGAGCATTTACTGACTTTAGAATATTTCTTGAAGCAAGTTAGAGAAAGATCTGCAGACACACAAGAAGACATCAGATAAAACCCGTTTCTCCTGAAGGTGGCAGTCATCGGCAAGACAGGCAAAAGCACATCGGAAGGCTTGCCACACGAACAACCAGTGATGTTTGTTATACTGCAGGGGATAAGCTCGCGCAGGTCCGAGGTGCTTGGCAGAGGACCGGTGGCCAGCTAAGAAATCCAATTATCCAGTTATTCTATAATTACTAATTTAGGCTTCGAAACAGAGCAAATAGTTTATATAAAGTATCAACTACTCGAGTACAACCGGACGGTTGTGTAATATCCCAACAAGACACAAATAACAGCAGATGCTTGTTGCGGCTATCGAGACCCATTCAAGGATGAGCTTTCTCTCATGAGATCGCGTTTGGGACAACAGCATGAAGAAAAGTATGGTATGTAGCTGTCACGGACCTATTGCCAGAGGCTTAGCATATTTACACTTCTTCATCGCAGATTGGAACACAAGACGGTACGGCGCTGTACCTTAGCTGTATACATGCCATGATAAACCCATCGCTTGTCTCCTTACTCACGCCAAGGCGGTTAGAGGGGGCTCTGGGATGGGACCCCCGGCCATTAACAAGATTGCTGTGTCGTTCTGCTTCCACATTGAGAACATACCGTCCCAGCGGACCAAAGTCCGTTTCTTCAGCCTATTCGAAGCCTTCCTCGGGGTTGCCATTACGCCATGCAAGGAAGAGTTCTGTTCTGTGAAGTCTTATTCCTGTTTCTGAAACTGATAGGAACACCTGTGGTATTGGAACTTCTGATAATAATAATCGTTTCTTCCAGTCATGCTTCGTTCCTTCAACCGTTACTTTTCGGCGGGTTCGCAAGGAGCCGTGCGGCTGAGTCAAGTTTCCATACCCGCAGAGACCCAGAGAGATGGGAAGTTCGATCTGATCGCTTTAAATTGAGAAGAATCATTCGTAGTTTCTTCTCCGTCTCATTGTCGTCTGGCAAGCCCTCCAGTACAGGCAGCGTTGCACACTACTACTCACCAAAGTGAGTCTTTTTTGACTGTGACTGGGTCGTGAGGGCTCCAAAATTAGAACTCAGTCTAAGATGTGATGAGGGATCAATCTTACCTGGCGCTTCCATCAGATTTCTTATATCTCTGCCATTCACTACCTGCTTGAACCCTTCCAGCTGCTCCGGCGGGAACCTTCGCTTTGTCCTCCCAGCTGACAGAACCGCCGGGGTAGGTTTGGAATATGGGGAGAATACACCATTCAATGCCTCAGCATTGTGAGGAAGTAGATGAGATATAAAGCAAAATGAAGAGCGAAAGGCAATTTCAATTGTAGTTATTTCAGTGATAGTCAAATGTAGGAAAGTAAAGGAAATAGACGAAGTACGGATCGGAGGGGTTAGGAGGCGTTCTTCCCGATCGGGAAAACACACTGCAATATTATATGGAATAATCGCCACCAGGTGTCGATACTTAAAAATTAAGGTAGGTTAGTTAACGTAACTCCTGGCCCACCGGCCACCCCTAGCACACCGCCCTAGAATCATTGTACTACTCATTGCTAATTCACAGCCTCCGATAGAAAGAGTTGTTGCATGTAGAAACGCGTAGGGTGGCCTTTTAAAAGGTGAGTGAGTCTGTCATTTGTATCCTTTGCCTTGATATGTATATATATATATAGATATATATTTTTTTGCTGGATAGTCTGTCGATGGGGTGCTGACATGTGGTTGATGATCGAGGAGACTACTTAGTATGTGACTGTAATGAGCTTATCACGGCCAGTGTAACTCACCGCTCTCCTCTAAAGAATCGGGCTTCGAGGCTCTGCCTGGCTTTGTCTTCCTTGGTAAGTTCAGTAGTACTATAATCGACTTATAGGCAGACGCTTGTTATCCCATGTACAAGATGAGATGTCCGCTCTGTGCGACTATCTCCATTGGCATGGAGAGTTAAAGACTATCTCACATTTTTTGTCGCCCCAATACCTTAAACATGGAAATGTCTTCAATATGAGTTCCACATCTGCATCGACCTGGCTTCTCCGAGCGGCCAGCGACACATGGTTTAATCTACTTGGCAAGCCAATTGCTCTATTGTATCGTACCGCAAACCAGACTCGATACAGGCGGAGTAAATACCGACGTAGTATAGAATGCATACCCAAGATTGTACATAAGATGGCTGAAGTTCGCATGCTTAGTCCATATTGGAACCTTCTAAGGCCAATAAAAATGATGGTAAGCGGAGAGGTTTGAGATAATGTCTGGATGATCGCTTACTACATTTGTTGGGACATTCACCGAACCAGGCCATCAGATCTTTCCTCCTCCCCGAAGCATCATCACCTCCCCCTCTAAGGCTCCTCCGTCTTCCCCCTCGGGACACCCTGTCCTGTATTCTGCGAGTTATGGCTCTGCATCGAGAGTGCAGAATGGTTATGCTTGTCTCTATCGCTGAATTGTCCGTTCAGCAGGATTGGTCTTTCGAGAGACGCATAATCGCGCGGAGGGAGTCCCCCAGCGCGCCACCGAGGACCCGGTGATTGTCTTTTCAGTTTGGTATAGAAGGTCCAGAATGACGCCAGACAAGCCATCATGATCGCTGTCCGCATAGTCAGATATCGTTCCCCATGTTCCAGGTCAACTGTATTTTCGAGAAGACTTACCAACACAGATCTCGATCGCGTTCCAGAAAACCAGCCAGGCAGGGCTTAGGATCCCCGTACCTGAGACACTCAGCTCAAGTCGCACCAGCGCTATGATGATGATAAACGCTGTTAGAAAACTGACACCGATCAAGGCGAGCTTTCTCCGAATGTCTATTTTAACTCTCCACATGACGTGACCAGAGAGAACGATAACTATATAACGAAGAGATGGTTAGACTGAAGTAACTGCAAGGTGGTTGGAAGTATGTACTAGCTGCATCAGATACAATATCCATACTCGTCGAGACCTTTAGGCTCACCCGTTCATACCAGATCGAATACGCACTCGCACAAGCCTCTGTCACAGCGCGGTTAACTTTAGCACTCCTAGAAGGAAAAGAAGAATGGAACGGACCAATGCTATCTTCAAAAGAAGCCATCTCACATGCATAGTCCAAGACACCCAGTGTACCCCCATAGCAGGCGATAACGAATGCCAAGACCACCCACCAGAGGATGCGTTGTGCACGGAAACGATTTCCCAGATGTCGGAAGAAGAATATGAAGGACAGCTTGACCGACCACAAACTGGTATACGAGAGGAGGTATCCGGCCAGCTGCCCACGCAGGTATCGCACCTCGATGGCCGCAATGTTTTTTGGCAAGTTGGAGTAATCGATTGAGCCTGTGGTAAGGGTTGTTATATAGAACATCTGCTTATAGCATACCGACCACACGATGCAATTGGCAAGAGATAGCACCCAAGCCGTTAAGATCAGGACATCGTGTGCATGCCATTTCCGGTCGACAAGATATTGAAGGAGTAGCCGAATAAGGACGAAGAAGAACGTAATGGTCTGACAGACCCAAAGCACGGCCTTGTCGGGAGAAACAGTAGTCAGCCAGGCTTGAGGAAGGAAGAAGCTTCAGGCTAAGGCGGGAGGTGTTCCTTCAGACATACCACAAATGTAGCCTCATCGATATAGTTATTCGCCATGGCACTTCAAGTATACGCCTCCGGGGATACGAGATCCAACACAGCTTCTTCGCAGGGGACTGCGACGGGAATGGAGGGGCAGACATAGCTGAATATACTATACGTCCGGAGACGCAGTGGTGGTCAGCCTTGGCCCACAGCATTCCATCTTTATGCAACTAATGAGCGATGCATGCAGCTGTAAAGACTCGCTGCACCGCCCCATCCATTCCGATACTGCAACTGTCGCCCGGATTGTAAGCACCGCACGCCGTGTGTAATACTTTTGCGGATGTAAGCGCGCCAACCTCCAAGGGTATATTGCACTGCGGGCTATGAATAGCTGAGCGACAATCATTGGCAGCGTAAGAATTCTTGAGCTTACACATAGCAAGGGAGGGGAGGCGGGGCGACGAGTAAGCATTGTCGGGGTAGATGCATAGTGGGACAGTATTCGTTTCGAAAATTACAAGCAGCTAACCAGCTCATCCGCTGTCATACACTATCTGTATCCAAGTACGAAAAGTACGAGGCTAGACAGCCTGATTTCTCGCATCCCCACGAGGCTGTCTCCCTATAGTAGTGCAAGGCTGTTAGCTATCGAGATCGGAGCTTGTAAGCACTAACCGAGCCCCTTTTTTGTGTTGACTACAAGCCATACCATGAAAAAACTAACAGATGGAAAGTAAGTTGTCGGACTTTCCTTATTCTGCCTTACAAAACAGTGATTTGGCCTCGAGCGCACTTGCAAGCAGCGGAGCACTTGACTACTTTCTGACAGGGTATGGGTGGATTGGCGGGAGGGAGGGGGCGCATGAAAGATCGGCATTAGATGAGC